GTTTTCAAAAAAAGTGAACGTAGTCTTTTTTCCAAAATTCACTCTGAAATGGAAAACACCATAGACTCTCAAGTTATTACTTTTAATAACAATCGATATTAGTTTTTTATGAGCCTGTCGAAACACACAATAGTGCATTAAGGCCTGCAGCTGTCAGTATAATGTATATTTACAACGACCTAATTTTCCATCTAGTTCAACGCTTATAATGATAGAAATGTTAAATTAAGATAAAATACAAGAAAGAAAAATAACGAGCGAATAGCAACGATACAAACAAGAAATAGGGCACCCGTAAGGAAAATAAAGACTTCTGTTCGAAATGTAAAAATAAATAAGACAGACTCTTACTTTGGTGATCGATTATCTTGAAAAACAATTGTTGTCCACGATAGATTTTTCCTTTCATCTATTTTGTATCAGTTTAATTTTGTGTCGTTATTATTATCGTTGTTCAGTTATTTGTTTTATTTGTGTATGAATAAAACATGTTTATCAATTCTATCCTGCAAAGATCATTCAGACATTGCAACAATCAAATCTAGATCGGTGGTTCATAGTGAACTAGCGTTTTCTTCGAATAGACACTAGTCCCAATTAGCTATTATTTAGCCTACTTAATATAGGGATGATAAAGACCTTAATGACACCTCATTGAGAGCACATCACAGTACACATATGCAATTTTTTCTCATTCACATTTCATATACTAGACTACCAGGTATGTATTCTTGCTTGTTCGCAAGGGATTTAATTTCTGTTGAGTGTGCTCGAGAACTTCAGTAAATATTTTTTACCATTTCGTTTTGGCGCTCAGAATAAAAGCAAAGAGCAAAAGTGTAAGTAAAAATATTGGAAGAGAAGAAAACAGATAGATGAAACAGAGGAGCAAAGACATTGTTAAAAATGTCAACATTTTGATTATATTGTTAAAATGCAAGATCTATATCATACGTGTGAACATAACAAGAAACAAAAATTGAACTTTCGGCATGCACAATTCTTTAACATGAAATCAATCTTCCATATTAGAGAGACAAGACTACAATAAAATCACTCTTACTTATTTTGACTATAGAAGATTTCTAACAAACGATATTTATTCTCTCCATCTTAATGTTTAATCAATCTTTAATCATTTTCTCAAAACGAAAATAGTGGTGAATAAAAACCTATAAACGAAACGCTAATAAAATAGCATTAGAAGATGAATAATTCTACGAATGATTTACATTTACGTAAATGTAAATTTCTGTTCAGATATAATCTTTTTTGCTGACTTCAATAATACGAAGTCACTTCACTATAATTATCAAGACAAACCATAGTAATTCTGTTCAATTTAATGATATACTTTATCAATTATGTTTTCTGCATGATGAACTGCTAAAAGCCATTTTCGCCATGCATACTTGGCAACTTGATAATTTAACCATGTTTCTTTTGTTTTAAAATCATTGCTATATATGAATATTTTTTTTCTACCCTACGTGTACACTAATATATTTTCGCTATAGTATACTTTTGCGAACTTACTCCACCCAATCTTTTGACTCTAATTCGCATATAAAAAAATGTGTCTTGAACAACCATTCTATATTATGATTTCGTTTCGAATATTTAACAAAAATTGAAATTTTCAGCTGTACAAAACTTGTTACCAATCTGGTCATATACAAAGGCATTACATCTATCAATGATACACGAAAACTCCAGTCAAATTTGGATGTTAGATGCATCTAGTTTCAAATCACGAATTCTTTGTGTATGATACAATGTAGTTCTTATGATTAATGAATGTAACTATTAAACTGGATTATATGAATAAGAGAGTTTTGTCATGTTCAAAACTGTCTTTCAAAAATTCAAAATCTTACAGAAAAGATGAACTTCTACATTCAATAACTCTATGTAGAGCTCTAGATACAAAGAATTGTTTAACTTATGGCTCAAACATGCATTTCACAACAACAGTGACGATACTTCACAAACACATTCTTTGCCTGATGAATAATGTTTAACTTAAGGTCATTCGATAGAAAATTAAATTTTGAACATCACAAAATAATTGAGAGAGTCAACACAAGCCAACAGATGAATCTTGTCGAGGCTTGCTGTCGAAACAATATTCAAAACCTTATTTACTGAACAATGACCCATTTTTAAATTGGTATCATTGGATATAGAATAAAGTTTCACATCTAACACAAAGGACTAGAGAACCAAAACAACTCAGGAAACGAATTCTGACAAGAAATGATGGAATACAATGCCAATTTCACTGCCGGCAGTTTTTCTCAGGTTCGAATTCACAAAAACATGAGCCCACAGTTTCCAACTCTCAATAGTATTAACAAAGAAAATTTTCATGACATCTGACTTCTTGTTATTTACTCGTATATGAAAAAGATTTTTTCAATGATACTGAAGAAATAATGATTGAGAATATATCATAATTATCATTTGAGTTAAAATATGTATGTATATAAAAATGAGATTTAGCTCTAAATAATCTAACTCACACAATGTTTATCTTTTATTATCTTGTAAATCATCAATCAAATATTAAAAAAGAAAAGAAAAATAAATCACGAATAGAATCATTTTACTCTTAATGTTTGAATTCTTTCTTGTGATATTTAAAATGATCTTCTAAAAATGTCATTATAAAATAATAACTATGATCATAACCAACTTGTTCACGTAATTCAATGGGAAATGAAGCTTTTTTACAAGCATCAATAAATCGTTCTGGAAATAATTGTTTATCTTTAAAATTATCATCAGAACCTTGATCAATTAAAACAGGTGCATGTGGCTTTGGACCATGATATGAAGCGACAAGTTCAGTTGCATCAAATTCTTTCCAAAGATTTTCATTTTGACCAAAAAATTTCGTATATGCATTAATACCCCATTCACTTTTTGATGCATTACAAATCGGTGCAAAAGCTGAAACAGATTTGTATTGACTAGGACGTTTAAAAAAACTAATTAAAGCACCATGTCCACCCATACTATGTCTAAACAAAAATGATTTTGCGTCAATTATATTACTTCGTATGAAGTTTTTTTACCCGAAAATTCCAATTTGTTTTGGATTAACATTAAAATTTTGAACAATTAATTCATAAAATTCTTCGTTAACATAAGAAAACATTCGATAATTCTTTGACCATTTACTTTCAGTTGCATCAATATAATATCCAGCACCTTCACCAAAATCCCATTTTTCACTGTCACCTTCGATTTTACAGCCACCTATATTTTCAATATAAACATACAATAAAAATATACATAAAAAACTTCTTTTTTTTTTTTCATACGAGGGCTAGTATCGGGATTTGCTACAATAAAACCATATTCTGAAGCTAAACGTTGAACACCAGATTTTGTCATGAAGTTCTGCTCCGTACAAGTTAAACCTATTCGATAAAAAAGAAAAAGTTTATTTTCTCTAATTTATAAAAATTCTAACAAACCAGAAAGAAATATTAATAAAGGCACTTGTTCTTTCTCAGCTTTTGTTGGAACATAAACACCAAATTTCATTTTACAGCCAACAGTTGAACTAAAACCAACAGTCAAATTTGAATTAAATAATCAAACGAAAACTTTTGTCTTCATATACCTTTCATGGCTATAAACATATTGATGACCATCAAAAGCTTTTGAACTTTGTTCACGAGTCAATGCCGATGATGACATTCTCAAAAAGAAAAAAATGGATAAAGGTATTTTTGACCGAGTGTAAATGTGAATTATTTTTTTTTATTTTCATTAACATGCAAAATACAATCATAAATTTAAAAAAAAAAGGATAGGAGTACAAAAACCCTTTCACCTAGTAGAGATGTTTGCAGGGTTTTAAGACACAAAAAAATGAATTTATGCTCGCAGAATTATGTTTCAGTGATCTCAAACAACAAGTGTGTAGATTAGAATAATAGGTAACTCAAAAAGACAAAAAAAGAAAAAAAAAAGAAACATACAATAACAACAACAGTAAATTACATCATGACTAGAGACAAGAGAAAATGAATTAAATAGATATATTTAAAGTTCTAATGATGAAAATAATCGACGACACATAACAGCAGCTAATGATGGACATTTATCAAAGTCATAGATAAGTTGACGTTGTTTGTCATTTAATTTTTGAAATACATTATTATATTGACGATCGAATGCATCTAGTTAAGAAAAAAAAAACATAATAATAACAGAAAGTATTTAATAATCATATTATAGAATATTCAATAGAATATATTTATACTTATAATATATCATAGATTTTTAGTTAGTTACTAGAGAATTATAATCATTTTACTGAATTTTTGACTTCGTTCTAGCCAGTTGGTTAAATACCGTAAAATATTGGTTTGACGTTAAATTCTACCCATAAGTGGTTTCATCATTATTAGACTGCTCTGAAAGTTTCTCTTCAAAAGCACGATTTCTTCTCGAGACAGTAAACGATCAAAACAGTTAATGGTCTGATCCATCACGCCTATGAGATGTGATAGTTTCTTGATCATCGAATGTTTTACGAGGAATAAAGAGTGGCAAACTGATGGTTATTTTTAAATCTGTGTCAAATTTATTATGAATTTCAATGCTTGAAAAATTTTTATTAATTGAAACAAAAAGGTTAGGAATTTGAGCTAATATAAACGTAATTGTTTATTCTTTTCAATTGTACCATTCGAAAAATAGCTAAGAAATCAGAAATCAACAATAAGAGATTCAATAAAAGTTTGTAACAATTCGAGATTTACTGCGGTCTGTTCGTCAATGTCAGATTATTTTCGTTTAAGTTTCTTAAAAGATCTTAATTTCGAAAACAGATTTTCTCATAAACTGCATTGCTAACTGCTTTTCTTGAAAAATACGTTTAAACCAAACATGACGGATACATTCGAAGTGAAAACTTATTCAATAGAACAGTATTAACTCATATCCAGATCAAATAATCAGATTTTTCCAGATTCAATAATTGATTTTGTATAATAAGACAAAAACAAATACGCATCAAGTTTTAGTGCATGGCTCTTATGTCCTCAGAGGATCTTTTAAGATTTCTACACTAATACTCGATATAAATTTGATATAGTGCGCAAAGTTTTATTCCATTGTTTTACATTGATTCTGTAATTATTTACGAATCTAATAATAAAATTTCTTACTATAAACTTACCATAAGAAAGTTTTTCACGGCCAAGTGCAACAATAGCTAAAAATAGAATTTCTCTGTACATTGAACGTCGACGAATACGACGACGTATTGACTTTGATGATTCTTTAATAAATAATCGAATTGGATTGTATAGATCATTTTGTTCAATACAAGCAACTATGGATCGTATTACTCTACGATGAAATAAAAAGAAAAGCAGACAAATCAATATTATATTTTATTTTATTTTCTCGACTAATAAAATCAGTGAAAAAAAAATCAATTTTTAATATCTAGGATATGTGAAAAGAATCAATTACCGATTTGCGTTATTATCAAATAAATCGCTAATATATGAAGAAAATAATGGGGAGAAAAAAAATACATTCTTCAATTAATCTTACTTTCCAGTAACGGTACTATGTTCGTCCGTAATTAGTGCATTGGCAACTGGTGTATGGCATCCATCTATAATTAAGAAAAAAAAACATAGATACATTCTAACAGCCGAGTCAGAACACTAGCATTCTTCTTGTTTCCGATGGGCGACAGATGACGCCCATGGTACATGCTTAAGACCTACAAACGATGGGCACGAGATAAGAATAAAACAGAGATATAAAGAGGTAGGAGAAATGCAAAAAAATTATTTTATTGATATAATCATAAATATAAAAATTAGATATTTTTATTTAAATAATACTTTTGTTTTTAAAACGATCTCCTTGTTGAGAATAAAGCAACAAAAAAGACAATATCTAATAGTTAAAGTATATGAATTAGCGGATAATAAAATTACTCGTGTGTGTATATCTTAGTGTCTTAACCCTTTATCACCTGTTGTCCTTCGCAGAAAAACTAAGATATTTGATATAAAGATTGCCACCAAATCTTATATTCAAAGTCGAATAGTTCTTCGGATTAATATAGTCTAATAGACAATATTAGCCTGAAAACCTATTGGCTTTCTAGCACAGAATTTTTCACAAGATTTCAGATCAATCATTAAAATGTCATCTTCAATGGATATTCAGTCTTAAACAGTTAATATATACGACAGAATTATTTGAAGATGATCAAAAAATTGTTTTTACAATTAACTATTCAACTTATCAGTATTATATATTATCTTTCAGAGTAGAAATATGAATTTTTATCTCGTGCGCAACTTTCTGGATTCCACATATATCATGTTATCAAGAATACACGATGTCAATAGAGAGCAGTATTTTCCACAACCATTTCGAGAACAAGAGAAAAATGATTGTTCTAATTTTGTCGTTAGATAATCTACTAGCGACTTGTATCCTAGATAATATAGCACATGTAGAAAAAACTCCATCTGCCACTGCCTACTCATAACAAGAAAGGCTCTAGTGTTCTAGCTCTGCTGTTAATACATTTAAAAAGAAAAAAAAAATGTTTTTCTCACCATAACCATCATGTTCCCATGTTTTATACATTGGTTCAGCAATATCACTATGACTAATTGCACTATCCCACATACAACGTATACGTATTGAAGTTTTTTCACTAATAAGTTCTTGTCCCAAAACACATTTATTCTTTTTAAAATCTCGTTTAGTTTCATTATCTAATGGATATAATAATGAACGTAAAAGCATTTGAAATAAATAACTTGATACATGAATGCGTCGAAAAAACCAAATCTAAATAAATAATTATTAAAATAAAGAAAAAATAATTAAATTTTAATATATATATTACCAAGTTCCAAAATAATATTGGATGTTTTTCTTTAAAATCCATTTTATATAAATCACTATTATTGTGATCAGGTGTTTCAATTATATTTTCAAGTTCTTTACGAAGAACAAGTGGACTTAAATAGTGTACCGTTATAGCTGGTGAAGATGATTGAAGACGACTAGAAAAAAAAACAAAATAACAATAATCAAGTTGAGACATATATTTAAAATCCACTTCAACATAAAGTGCTGAATACCATGCTTTTTCTTGAGTTACAACAATTTTACTGAATTGTTGAGCTAGTACAAAGTGCATCATTGAAAATCACAGATCACTATTTCGATCTGAAAGTTTAGCTAGGAAGAGATCTGATAATCTCTATCATAAACTGAAAGCTTCACCTAGAAGGAATATTTTCTTTTCAAGATATCAGATTGTGAACCTCTATACATATGTTAAGAAATATTGAGTTTTCTTACAAAATCTATTATTAACAGAATAAAACATTCGTTCGAAGTGTATACCGTGCACTAGATCAAAAACTCAGTAGAATTATTGTCACTCAAGAAGAAAACAATAAAAAGACGAATTATTACCGATTTTGTTTATTTTCAATGGACTCTATCTTATGGCAAAAGTCTTGTCTCAAATACCTTTTTATCATTTCGAAAGATTTTATTGCAAGTAGAAAACCTATGAGTAGAATCCCTGTGGAACTAAAATGTAAAACATGACATAACAACTTTTTCTAATCAAAAAGAGATTGCTTTATTCTATAAGATATTTCTTCACCATCTTTTTACTTAATCCTTCAGAAATGACATGAGGAAGTAGTTCATGTATTAGAACGAGACATAAAATCTTCAACCACATATCAACAACGTCTGCCACGATCTGGAATGGTTCGAAATTTCTAACCCTTTACTTGAGTGCTTCGCAAAACAAATACTGATTCTAGCTTAACATAAGACAAATACTTTTGATATGTTTGTGCTTTATTTACTACTGAAAGCAAATGTTTAGTTAATAGACTGGAAAATGTATTAAAATAAAATTCTTATTTAGTCATATAATAATTGCGTTCTTTTTTCAAGTTTAAGCCTTGAATCTCGGAAAACAAATGTATTAAATAAAACGAGTATTTTTAAAATTTCTAAAAATTCGAAACAAGAAAAAAAATAAAATCTTACAATGATTGTTTCATTTTTTCAATCATTGCTTGTTGTGTAATATTATTCGTTGGTGTTGTTACTGTCGAATCATCTTTTCTATAAAATAAAAATTCGAAAAATAAATTTCTTGAATTTTTTTTCTTTTAAACCTACGTTGAAGTTGCATTAGTATTCATGACAGTATTCTCCTAAAAGAAATAAATAAAAAAAAAAAAAAAAGTCATTTTGTAATTAAATATTTTTTTTTCTTTTCTTACTCTTATATTAATAGCTAATTTTGGTATTGTTTTTTCTCCACAATGAACACATATTGTATGTAATTCAGAATCATCTGGTGACCATCCATTCATTATTTCTTCATCATATAAAAATTGATTACATGCTGAACATCGATTACAACTACTAATTTCAATAATTCGATTTGGTATATGAGAATTTTCATCATTATTATTTATTAGTGGTATTGCAACACTTGATGGATCAATACGTAATGCTTTGATATCATTATGTATATTATTAATATCAATACCATTGATATTATTTGTATTTAATGATGAACTATTTGAGCTTTGTTGCGAAATAAGTGATGATAAACTACCACGTAATTTACTATTACTATTATTTCTTGCCAATGTTCGTTCTTTAATGATTGTAGGATTTTTAACTGTATAAAGACTTTTCGATTGTGTTAATGGAATGGTTGTAGATTTAACTGATGTTTTAAAATCAGTAAAACGATCTAATGCAAATGATTTAATTGTATTAAGATTTTTTGGATTATATAATGCTGAAAAACCACTTTGATTAAATTTAGCACGTAATTGTATTATTGATGTTGGAATATGTAATAAAGATGTTAATTCTTCTTGTTCTTCTTCTTCTTTTGGAATAGAATTTCTAGTTGATTTTATTTCAGTTGTAGAAGATATTGAACTAGCAAAAGGTTTATCCATTATTGAAGGTGTTCGATTAGTTATTACTTGAGGTATAGGAACTTTTGCAGTTGGATTAAGTAAACCAAGTGGATCATTAGATAAAACTTGTGTTCGTGATGTTAATTCCCATTTAATTGGTGTATTTGATTGGGCTTTATTATCAAGACATGAAATTGAACGACGTGCTGATGGTTGTTGATTATATGTTTGAGAAGATTTTGGAGCAACTGGTAAACGATATGAAAGCATACCAATATCACCTATTTCAATATCACTTGTTGTCATTAATATACCAGCATCAGATCGAGCTAAATAAAAATCATGTTTGTTAGAGAGATTCCTGCGGGATTAATACGTAAAACATGATGTAACTGTTGTTGTTAATTACATAGAAATTATTTTATTTTATCTATTTTGAGACATATTTATTCATCATGATTTTTCTTAATCATCGAGAAAAGCAAAATAAGGAAGAAGATCATATAACGGATGATCAGAAAGCTTTTAGACAAAATTTTAGTTCATTTCTGATCCGCTAGAAAGTATTTTCTATGAATCAAAGGATATGAGTTAAGATACTCTTTTCGAACATGACTTCAGAAATTTTGTCTCAATCGTTGTTCAAGAGTAGTGAAATAATCTATGAAAAAACCGAAGAATTAGTTTGGATGAAAAATTTGTTGTATTTTCATTATTGTAATTCGAGATTAAAAAATGGAATTTTTATGTATATATTATCACATGAGAAGTTAACCTTCAAAATGTACTATTTGAAATGATTTTTCTTTTATCTTTCGATAAAGTTTAACAATTTTTATTTTTCCTAAATAATCATTTTTGAAAAAATCAACCAGAATTTTACATTAAAAGGAGCTCTTGAAACAATGCTTGCAGCATCACTTACGGAAAACCATCTGAGATTATATCTCGTCTAGCTCCCTTGTTAGGTGAAAACTACAACTTACATTTTGTAAAGTAGAGTGTGCTCTACAAAACGATTAACTTCGACAATTGTTCGCATGTTCGAAAAGGGATGTGTAAAGTAAATAAAAACCTATTAACTTATCATTTGAAATAATTTTTCAGGCCTTTTAAAAAGACCCTCAACTACTCTTGAACAAACATATTGTTGAAAAACTTTCTAGTCACCTATTACTAATATACGATTTGTGATGTGGGAAGGAAAGGTGCGTCAGAATTTCTATCTCTATATTTCAATATTTCTTTTAGATGTTTCACAAAAAATAAGCACATAAGAATTTCGAAATGAAAAATTAATAAACCTGTTTGATGAGCAATTGATTGAAGTGAACTAAAATCAAGTTTAGATGGCATATCAAATATATTTGATAGTGAATTTTTTTCTGTTGTTTCTTGAATATTAATATTGTTATTATTATTTATATTTGTTGTACGAATTATTTTAGTATCTGTATATCCATCCACTAAAAATAAAAGAAAAACAAACAATAAAATTTAATAAATAAAATAATCTTTGTTGTTTTTTTTTCTTGTACTTGTCGGTAATTTTTTAAAAGCCATTTTTGGAAAAAATGGACTCTCGGTTATATCTTTTATTGTTCCAGCTAATGTTGATAGTACACTTGATAATGTATCATCTTGATTAGGATTATTTCCACGATTATCTAGAACAATATTTATTAATAATTTTCTTTTTTCGTTTCAAAACATTATAGTTAAAATAAACCTTTGAGATTATCGGTTGAGCCAAGTGTTCTAGTAGCATGAGAAGTTGTTGGAATACAACTTGAATTTGAAAGTAGAGCATTAGAATCGGTACTCATTGCACCATCACTATCATCATCATCAAACGATGATGTTGATGGACGACGATTACGTTGATTATGTCGATAACGATGAGCATTTTTAAATGCCCATACAGCGTGAATTACAGAACGTAATGTTGCCCAACGATCACGTCGTGCCCATGTACCTTGATAAACAGCCTAAATAAGAAAAAAAACAATATCCAATAATTATTTTTAAATTAGATATATTTTTTTTTTACTTTATTATAAGCACCATATGTAACAGCATTCCATTCCACACCAGTTTTTTTCATAAATGAATAAGTTTTCACAGCTAGTATAGGATAATCATAAAGACCACATAATTGAATAATAACACGAAAACAAATCTAAAAATAAAAAAAAAAAATTTTATTGAATAGTTTCTTGTTTTATTTTTTAATTCTCTTCTTTTACTTCATCTGGATTTGTTAAATGTTGTCGATTCATTTGTACAAGAATTTTATATGCATAATTTAAAATATCTCGTGGACTTGTATAACATTCAATCATAGTAGGTAAATTCATAAACCATAGAGAATAAACACTGGATAATAAACAATAAGCCCATTGTGTAGGTTTGGTTTTATTTTCACGAGCGACCTTTTTAAGGAATATAAAAAAATATTTTTACAGTGTATTATTCATTTAAAAACAAAAATGATTCCATTCTTGTCTGATATTTTTCTACAACTTAGATGAATAATGCAAACAGTCAAGACTACAAGAACGTCCAGATTTCGTATAAAATCGAAGCTTAAGTTTTTCTTTTTTATCGAAATCCATATTTTTTTTTTTACATTGATCATGTTGAAATTTTTGTACTAAGAATTACATTGTACACTTAGAAGTTTAATCATTCTTTCATTTTCATATTTTAGTACAACATGATCAAAAAGGAGTATTGAAATGCTTACAGAAAAATTTTTTTGCTCACTTCCACTTGCAGACCGTGACTTACCTTTTGACATTTATCTCTTTCAAATTTCGATCGTTTTACCATAGGACTATTTGGTATAAGTTTCACTGATGATGTTTGTGATTGTTCTTGAAGTAATTTTAAATTTGTTATATCATTTTTTTGTTGACCATGTATTTTATTTCCATTATTAATAAGTTTATTATGTTTACTTATTGAATCATTATGTCCATTAGTTCCTGAATGATTTGATTCAATAAATTCTGGTAATATTAATGTTGTTTTTTCACTTAAAAAATTCGTTGTTGTATCATGTATATCAAGTAAATAAAGTGTTTGTTGTTCATTATTTTCAATACTTGTTTTAACTTTAGTACAACATTCATCAAAAAATGCTAAACTATAATTATGATGAAGATTATCATTAATTAATGTTGATTGATTTAATGTACTTGATGATAAAAATGAACGTTCTTCTATAAAACGACTAAACATTTGTGTACGTAAAATAAATAAGTAAAATTTAGCATAAGATGAATCTCTTGAAAGTAAAAATTTATCAAATTCAAATAAAACAGATGCATCAGTTGATAATTGATTTGGTCGACGTAATATTGGACGTAAAAATTGTTTATAACCATAAAAACATGTACACATAAAACGAAGAAATACATCACGTATTCGTGTTTCCATGTTACGTTCAAGTTGTATCATTTGTATACGTAATTCAAAATCATTACGATTACGTTTTAAACGTGTACGAAGATCATATAAACGTTGTTGATATGTATTAAGCACTTGTGATTCGATTTCATCTAATGATTGTTTTAGTACTTTAAACTTGAAAATAAAGAGAAAAAAAAAACAATTTGATAGATTTAATAGAATACAACAAGGAAAATAAATACTTACTGGCTTTTTTGGAAACATTTTTACTGACCAATGTTTTTGTTCTTCAGTTCTAAATTAAAAAGAAATTTTTTTCTGACAAATTGTTCATGATTTTAAATTAACTCTGATTTAGTTTCGATCGTCTATAGTTATCGAGGTGGTTGGATTCTTTTTTGCCATTAGATAGAGTAATATTGCATATGTCTATCTGTGTAACATTCATTAGATTCGAAGAAATTCTTCATGGACATTTTTTCATTGTCCATTTCTACGACTTTTTTATAGTAACCTAGGCTCAAATTACACGAAAATGTAATCCAAAGAGTGTGAACATTTCTTACACGATTGTTCCATTCTTATCTTGGATTTGTACATCAAGAAAAGTGTTCTAGAATCTGGAAATTCTGTGGGAAATACAGTTCTCTTAGGATTGCATTTTTGTGTAATTTGAGTCTAGATTACTATGAAAATTGATAGAAATGGGTAATAACCCATGGAAAGTTACTCAAAAAAATAGTGATTGGTATTTCAATGGAAATCCGACAATAGTATGATGTCAGAACAAAACAGAAGATTCATCTAGCAAATAGATAAATTTCTTTCGCTTTCGAAATCTTCCGTATGGTAAATTACGAGAGTCAAATTACTTTTCGAACAAGATGATATTCATTTTATGAGTAATAGAAAAATCTAGAATTGCTTGGTCTTCCGCCTCTTTGTTTTTCAGATGTCAAAATTTAATTGGATTCTTCAACAAAAAGCGCCGTGGACTTCACTTAGATCATACGGGAGTTTCGACTTTAAACTTTGCACGAACAAAGTTCATAATGAGATTAGTTCATTGGAGTTGAATATCTCAGGATCAGAAATATTAGAAAAACTAACACTTGTAAAATTCATTAATCTTATTAAGAACTTTGTTCATGCAAAGTTTGAAGTCAAAAACCAATTTTCCACATGATCTGAGTAGGGCTATAGTGCTTTGTTGAAAAATCCAGTAAAATTTCGATATCTTAACAACGAAGGCTTGGAACATCGCTTCGATCGAAAAGCGAGTTGACATTGAGAGAGGTTTCCTCATTAGTTTTACTCAATTCTTTCATTCTCATTCAAAAAATGATTATCTTGTTAAGAATCTAACAATTGCTCCGAAATACAAACAAAAGAATTCTTCGTGTTTGTTTTTATTTTTCTAAAAACCAATATAACAACATTAGAAGTTATTACATCTCACAGTATCCATCATGTTTTATATAAGATTGATCAATGTTTTTATTCAGCGATGGGATAGTGTTCTCCCAGAGTTTAAGATTATTGTACCATATACTATGCATCTGTGCTCGTAAAAATATATGTTCACCTCTCCAGAAGAATAAACACTGAGACTCTGACTATAATCAAATCTAATTGTTTCATATGTTTTATAATCTTACCCTCCAATAATAATATTTGTATCAAGATCAACACATACAACATCAGGAGGTGGTTCACATACATCAAAATAACGTGAATCGATTCCTAAAAAAAAAAACCTAGTTGAATGATTGATAAATATATTCAAATCGTCTTACCAATAATAAATGGACATGGTGCACTTAATACATCACTCAATGCTAATGGACATAATGGTATATACGGGCATTGCCATTGGAATGGAAAGAGCATCTTAAAAGAAAACATTTTTTGTTTTGAAAAAAAAAAAAAAAAATAATAATGTTCTAAATCTTTTCTTACATTATTCACCGCTTCAACAACACCTGTCAATACTGATGATCTTAATGAATGTATAAGCAACTTTGATTCCAATAAAGCATATAAAAATAAAGTTAATGTATTATCTGTTCCTAAATTTTTTAAAAGATCAACAAATGATGCACCATTTTGTGGTAAACCATTATCTTCTGGTAAAACAATTAATAATGGTTCATCATATTGGACAAATATTCTTGGTTTTGATGGTGATGGAAATGGGACATGATAAAAAAAATGTTTTAAATACTGTTCAATTAATGGTATATGATCAATTAATTGATTAACATTTGATGTTGTCATATTTGATGAAAAAATTAATTGATATATAATAAATAAAAATCGTCTTAATGTATCGAAAAATGGATAACGTGAAAAAATAACAACACATGTTGATGCATATAAATAATCGTTATCAGTTTCTAAACGATTAATTAAATCATTATTTGTTAATAATAAACGATCATATGCATTAAATAATTCATAAAATGATATACAAGCACCATATTGTTTTGTATGTGATAATAGAAATGTTGAAAATGTTGGTGCAACACTTTGTAATGTTACTTTTGATGGCCATCGTTCAATAAATGCACCCATTGGAAAACAGAAAAGAGGAGTTTTATCAGGAAATGTATAATATGGGTTATCATCTGTTGGAGGAAATGTATAAAGAATACGTGGTCGATATTGAATACGTACAGGATAGATAACAGATTTTTTATAACAAAGATAAACGTTTGAACCAAGCATTGAACGATTTAAATTTTTATTTATTTTATTAAATGAATGTGGAGGAGTTTCACCCTACAAGAGAAAAACAACTTCTTACTTTTAAAAACAATGTTCAGTCTTATTTCATAGAAAAATGCGATTTTTACTTCTTTAGAAAGAAAAGATGAAGACATGCTGAATCATGTAGTACAGATTACTTTCAAAACCAATTCTTCGTATTAGATCGCGAAAAATAGAGTTTTTGATTTTTTAGAAATATAACAAGACTGCAATTGAAAATCTGTAAGTTTCAGGAAGACATGAATAATTAATGAATTTTAGCTCGTAAAAAAAATATTATGGAAACTTAATTTTCAATTTCTTTTATCAAAAGACTCTCTCTCTAGATATTTAGAAGTAAATTTTTTCCATACCTTGCTCTCAATAATAACACAAATATCTGTAACAGCTAATGTATTACATAAAATCATTGAAGCCGCTCGTCGATATGTAATTAATGTACGTTCTCTACTAAATGATGAGCTAAATATACTAGCTGGATATCCGTGTGGTGTTGTTTCAATGACTGAAACATTTTCCATAACTCTTTCTCGTCCTTCAAATAAAATTCCAACATCTGTTATTGGTGGTTTATCACGTCCACGTCTAATACATAAATACATTTCATGATTACGTAATCCACTATGATTAAGATTGGCTGAGAAATTATTTGGAGTTGTCCATATTGTTTCATAACCAGCTGGTGGATCTTCTCCATGTGTACGATCAATAATAGCTAAATCAACAATTGGTTGTTGATGTTGAGGCGTAAAATCATATGTTTTAGAGGATAATTGTAAAGATGTATCTGTTGTTGGTGATGATGCTGTTGGAATTAATTCATCACGTTCAATAGGACCTGTACTTCCAACACCAATAAGTGCAAAATGATCAACTAATCGTTTGTCATCCATTCATTCTTATTCTAAAATAATCAATGTTTTGTTTTTCATTCTTACTTTCATTCAATATCATCGATCGAAAGAAACCTATTTGTGTAAATTAATCTTGAAATGATATAAAGAAAAAAAGGAAGAAAATAAAGAAAGAGAAAAGATAAAAAGGAACAATGGATCAGGTAACATCACACGTTTTAATAGTGTGCCTTACAGCACAAAAAAGGAAACGAACAAAAAAAAAAAAAGAAGAAGTTTATATTTGTCTTTTTCTTTTTTTTTTTCCAAAGGATACACCATGAAAATATTCACGTGAACAACAAAAGATAAAATGAAAAAAAGAAGAATATGTTCGCATAAAAGCTTTTTTGATGATAACCATTGCACTGTTCTAAATTGTACAATCATTTTGTATTTTATTTTTCCTAAAACCAGAAATAAATTTTTTTTTTTTAATTTAAAAATGAAGTATTTTGTTTACCTGTTTAAATCCATCAGATTTATATATTATATATATACAAAAAGAAGAATATTTATCGTTACAATATCAAACAGCATCATCATGATACCACCAACGTGTTTTTTTGGGATCATTAGATGCTGTACGGACATACCAATCGTTATCAGGTGGACGACTCTAGAATATAATTAATCATATTTGACGTAAAATAATTGTAAATATTCTGATTGAGTATGATAAATAAAAAACAGAAAGAATAATCAATCAAATATTATTTACTTATGTTTCACAATATTCTACATAGAGAAATCTCTTCTGTGTTTTTTTTCTTTGATTCAATTGTTTATAGTCTGTTAATATCTATTGGGTTCGTTTTTTAATCAATATGAATTAGAAACAAGATTATCAAAGAAGTTAACTAATTAAAAGTAAATTATTACATTATTTTCTACGATTTTAATTAATCGTTCTCAAAAGTTTTTATTTATTGACATGTACTTATGATTAAATTCAATTTTATATTAACCTTATCACGATCACCTTTATGACTACCACTTGTCGTGTATTTGGGATTCGTGCGACTCCCAATTGACAAAATCATTATAATACACGAAATTTGTTATTAGTTTACCATAGACATGTGAAGACTTAAATTCAAGAAGAACAAACAAAACATCAGTTACTTTCAATAATATTTATTTAGTCTTTTTCTATAACCTAATCATTCTCTATTTTTAAGGCATCTGAAATCATGCATCACTATTCAGTATTCACATGTACTTTGAACTGCTCTATATAAGTAGAACAATTGCGTATAATTGACTGATTTTATCAATGGACTGTACTGACGAGGGAACCTCTTCAGCTGTTCTCTTCCGATTTCAATTATTTGTACTATATAGTGTTGTAATAAAATGCCTTAAGAAGGATTTCGTTTTCTATCGAGATTTGACTAAGCTATCAAATTTTTTTCTAGAGGCTGCATATTTTTGGAAAATTCGGATTTTTGAATTTTGATTTGAAACTTTCTTTATATAGAGAACTCAACTAGACTAACTTCTATAGGAAAAAAGTTACAAGTTTTGAATAAAATCTCTTCGAGATATGAAACTTTCACAAAATGCATGTTGTATATACTAGATCCATAGAAACGAGTCTATATCTTAAAGAGATTTTGTTTAAAAACTCTGATTTTTCATATAAAAGCTAATCTAGTTGAGTTCTCTATATAAGCAAAGTTTTAGATCAAAATTCGAAAATACGAGTTTTTCGAAAATCTAAAGACTCCAGAAAGTAGACACATAAAAAACTCGATAGCTTAGTTAAATCTCAATAGGAATCGAAATCCTTTAAGCGATTCTATTAGAATACTCTCGTACAATTGTTGACATCGAAAGTGAACAGTTGAAGAAGTTCTCTCATAAGTATCTACAATACATACCTAAAAAAACATGATTTGATTAAATATTATGAATGTATAATATAACAATGAATCTCATTGGAATTCAAGCGAACCCAAGTAGTCAGTGAGAGTTCACATGTACTTCGAGATGGTCTGTTCAGATAAACGTAACTAGCAGATATTATCAGCATATTCTACTAGTTTTGATTCGAACATATCTGGAAAATGAGCGATTTCATCTAATATTGTATACTACTAATATTATGATGCAACTAGTTGCGATAGACCTGGACTCCTATTATTATTGTCAAGGTTATCAGTAAACCAGAGAAATAAATCATTTCGTTTATCTTACAAATATGTGATATTAACTATGATAATAGTTATATGATATCTCCTTAAGTGAAATATTCAAAGTATTTCATCATTGTATCGATAGAAAATAACTGTTTGAGAGTATCAAATTACATTCTACTATATGATAGTTTATGTAAATACAAACAATCAATATTACAAGTACATGCAATTAAAAATAACTTTTCAAAGAAACATTAAATTATACCTTATCTTTGCAACTTGAAAGCATAGATAAAATACTAAGACAAACAGCATTGATACTCAATGCTGGTGACCAATCATCTGTTAAAATTGACAGACATATATGACCGTTTGAATAAATATGTGGATGAAGAGGAATGTTAGAACCAATGAAAGTAACCTGAGAATACACAAATAAAAATCTCGATATATTTTTTGCTTTTTTCGTTACTTGTGGTGAATCAAATGGATATTGATCAGAAAATTTAAATAGTAATTGAAATTTTTCACCATCATATAATGTTCCTGATGCACCTTCAATATCAATACGAATTCTATAATGAAAAAAATAAAAACATATAAATTGTTAAGTAAAAAAACATTATACTCTTACTTTCGTAGATCAGAAAAATCTTCTACTACTCGACTATAAAACAAAAGAAAGAAAAACTTTAAATTCAAAGATAACTTTGTTAAGAATAAAAAGAATACATACATCCCTGGTGTTGGATTTTCTGTTAGTAGTTTAAGTTCTTTCGTCAGACGTTTTCGAACAAGATCAAACTAAAGAAAAATAAATAAAACACAATGTTATCTATCGAATAGATAAAACTAGCAATTAATTAATACAAACCGCCATCTATTGAATGTTGAAACAGAAAAAATAAATATTTCTATGATTTTCTTGAATTTGGAAAAAAGGATTTTTCTTGTCTTATTATAGCTATTTCATCTGAAAAAACAAATAAACTGTCCATCAAATATTTCTTCTTTACAATCGATGCCAATAGACATCCTTCAAATTCAAATATTGCATTTCAAAAATAGATCATGATGTAAAAAAAAAAAAAAGGAAAATTCGTTTAAAAAACAATGAAAAGAAAAAAGGCTTGAATGTATTTTTAATTATTATTTGGATACATCAGAAAAAAAACATCATGTGAAACAGAGATTCATATATTTTTTTTTTTTGTTTTCTTAAAAAACAATTATTAAAAAAAAAAAAAAGAAGACGTTTGCTATTTTCCATCACAGCACGAACAACACGTATGTACATCAGCATATTTATTGCAAAAGATTTTTGATTTAATGTTTGATTGACATTGATTGAAAATGAGGTGCCATTTTATCAACTTCTGACGATGATATTGGTTGATCGACTAGGAAATATAATTTATTTAAACGAAAAGTTTTTTTTTTTTTTTTTTTATAGAAATCAAATTCACCTTGTGTAAATTGTTCACTAAGGTCACCAAGAGCATTTCGTCGACCAGCTCGTCTTGCTGCTTGAAACATTTTCATATCTTCAGCTTCGGATATTGGAGGTGTTGTTTCATTTGTATTACTGTCACTTGTAGCCGACGCACTCATTTAATTAGGCTTTTATCTTACTTTTCCGTGAAGTAAAACGAAATTGAAAACAAGATTGCAATCTTTATGGTAGAGTTAATGAATAAGACTGAAATAAAAATAGATCATACCGATTAATCAGGTAATCGTCATTCGAACATCAATCATAATTTAACAAAATAATAAACAAAACGGGCGGCACAAGAGGGTTAATGTACGAAATCTATAATGATTGGTTTAACATCTATCGATTCATATTATTTGTATTTTACAGTAGATGTCTCTGATTATCATGGAAAAGATGTCAAAATTTTAATTGACATTTTGATAATTAATCATAAATGTCATTTACTATTTAATTAATTTATTTGAAGGAGTAATATTTAATAAAATAAGTTAATTAGCAAATACTGAGTTTTATAAAAAAAAAAAGTCTAGAAATCAGAAAGGAAATCAACCCTAAAAACACAAAAATGTCTAGAAAATGCTTAAAAATTCGAAGATAAAAAAAAAAAAGTCATGTATTCATTTTTATAGAAAGAAATTCATATTTTGAAAGAAGATAAATTATATTTAAGATAAACCTATCAATTTTTCCAGATTGAAATTGTTCACGAGAGTACCGCCACAAGTGATTCACAGCTTTTGCGCTGACACTTTTACAACAATAAGTGTGATCCAATCAGGCTAAAAAAAGACTAAAAGGAAAACGGTTAATAGGTCTTTCCTCCAGATTTATGATCATTTTACTAGATTTATCACTCATAGAAAGATACTTATCGAAAAACACAAAGTACGCAATTCTGATCTGCAATGTTTGACACATATAAATCTCAGGAGTCTTATAGTGATCTAAATGTTACAGTTAAAATGAATGTCTTTTACTTGAAATATTGACTCTTCAAAAAAAACATCTTCAGGGATACTACATGTCAAGAAAATCGACTTTTCTTCAAAACTCACAATGTTGAGAAAAAAGCGTTCATTTTGATTGTGACATTTATGACACTATAAAGATGATGAGATTTATATATGTGGAGAAAATTTCAGATCGAAATTTTTTACTGTGAGTTTTTGTTAAATTTCTTGTTATAACTGATAAATCTACTAAAATAGTCATAACTTGGGAAGAGAAACCTATGATTTTTATCCTATGAATCTTTTCATAATCTCACAGCTTCCTGCTTATTGTAAAAATATCAATGTAAAAGCTGTAATTTACTTGAGATAGTTTTCTCGTGAATCCTATACTTATGTTAATTTATTATTGCTTCAATGCGCCACATTTCATTCTATTTTGTTTGCCAGATATATTTTGATTCGGTCGATCGATGCATGTAATAATAAATAACAAAAAGATTGAAGCAATATTATTAGCATGTTCCTAGACTGTCTCAAGTACGATAAGACACGAATCAATTTCTGGAACGTTTTATTACATTCTTTATTGTGCAACTATGTTACGATGAATATTGAGTGGCTACTTAGTATGAAATATTCCTCAGACCCTTTTGTTAAAAGTTACCATCTGAATGATTATGCATGAGCAATACGATTTGTTGTTGATTAATAAAAGAAATTCTAATGAGAGTATTGATCATGCTTATATGAATAACCTTGTACTTACGAGAAAAATTGAACTTCTATTTAACTCCCTTTTTTCTTTTTTTTAAAGCTCTAAGACGATTCAATAACATCATATCTTACCACTTTTCCGTCAAATTATATTAGGCAAACAGACGATCGAAGAAGTATAGCGCATTCAGAGAGATATAGCCCTAAAAAATTTGGAACAAATAAGTTACTGTCAGCGTAGCGGAATGACACCCATTGAGTGTTCTTTTATCTTGAGGGCAAAAATAAATGTCTTCATAGTAGAATCTATAGACTTTAATTATTATGACGAATCTTTAATGTCTAAAAAAATAAAATAAAATAAATCAGTACATAAGCATTTATATGCAAACAATGATTAAACATTAAGGTTGTCAAGCGATGTCCAAAGAAAAATAATAAAAGTGAATTTATTTGATCAATTTCTACTTAGATATATATTTTTTTCTTTCTGTTTTCTTTGTTGACATATCAATAGGTATTCGTGAGGAGATAGATGAGAAACAAATGTTTGTTTCTAGGTTTCATCAAAGATCAAATGATACCATAAATGCCTATGAAACAATAAAAATTCTTTTTTATTCGGTATTTTATTTTTTTACGTCTATGTCGTTTCTGTCTCAAGCGAAGAAAACTTTTTCAAAAATATCGATTCATTCATAGTTTTGTTCTTTTTCACATTTTTATCAATTCACAAAAAGAATAGTTGAATGACTTTTTAAATCAGTAAAAAAAAAAAGAACACTATTCAACTTTTTTCTTTGAAAAAGAAAAAATAATAACGTCATCATAGAATCTAAAAACTTTGAGATGTTCCATTGTTATATATATTTCTTTTTTACTTACAATGTAATGTCGACACAACAATACTTGTCTTATTGCCCAAATGAAATTATTTACAATGTTTTGAGTGCCTTCCTCTTTTATGGCCTATATTTCTCTCTCTTTTTTTTTCTCGCTTATTCTCATCAGACTTTTTTTTCCTTATATTAAGAACAGACAGAACTAAAATATATATTAAAAACCAACGCTTGAATATTCTTATAATATAATGTATTTATGCTAAACCTGACATGCATTATAGGACATAGAGTATGCGTGCAATTACTTTTAAGATAAAATTAGACATACGATTAATTTGTACCCTAGAATACTATTCTATTAAACACCGGATATGTTAATTATCTTAGTTAATGAAAGTCAATGAAGATAATCACAATATTTATTTGATTCGGAAAGATTGAACATATATATATATATATATGAATTTAATAGCAATATGTTTATTGACATAAACAAAATCAAGGAACATTTTGTTTCTTTTTACATAAAATTTACATTGGAACCAAGACTTTTATTTTTATAATTATCTTAAAACAACATGTGAAAATAAATACATAAAAAATATTTAGAAAAATTCTTTTCCTATATATTTTATTCAATAATTATTTTACATGCTAGATCCTGAAATATTTTCAGTAAATAAAACATGATAATATCAAAGACCTTGTCCACACTAGAAAAAATAATAAGGTATTTATTTCGGATATAAATTTACATAAAAAGTCTACACATATGAATTTATTACATCAATCAGAATTGAGAAATGGCCACTATTATGCAGTCGAAGTGCATAATTCTAGCACGTGTTTACAAAACAGCAGGTCGCTTCTGTCTGTGTTTGATAATGACTGAGTGATTAATGAGATTTGTTAACAAAGTATCTATCATTTTAATTTACTTCTTTCACATACAGATTCGTCAATTATTATAGTATTACTTATTATTATGCATCAGTTTCTATTCATTTATATTCTATAGTTAGTCATATCGAAAATATCTATTTATCGATGATACATAGAAGCAACTTTATCAAGACACATTCATCATTTTAATTAATGAATCAAGTTCTTTCTTGATGATTGGTGCATTAAATTTAATTTTTCTCTGAAAAGTGCATTAAATCATCTGAATTAACTTTTCGACAAATCACGTTTCTTAATTCAGTATTAAATTTTTTAGTGTCGACAAGGTCAAATACTACGATGTCTAGTATAGTTTCCTAACAAACAGAACATTCTCTTTTGCTTGTTCACTAATTCCAAACCTTTTCAAGTTACACATGGGAATGCATACTATGCATGGAAATATTCTTATGAATTATTTCATAACTACGACAAAATAATACTCTTTTTAATTAATTATCGCATTATGAATGAGTCACAATGTTGAAAACACTAAAATTCAAATAAATATTTCTATTACTCTATAGATGTCACTAGTATATCGGAATAATATAAAGAAAAAGAACTTTGTTTTCACATTTTAATAAAAAAAATCATAAATTTGTCATTATAAAATAAAAATTATATATGAAAAAAAATTTATTGGATAAATGAAGTATTTGTCAACATAAATGGTTGTCATTATTGTTTATTGTTTTCTTTTTGTTTTATAAACGTAGAAATTCATCGTGTCAAATATTGACTATCTGAGTAGATATTTCTCTGTTTAGTAAAAAAACGTTTTCATCGAATGAAACCACGTTATAATCTTCGTACTCAATCAATTAAATCTCAGCTTATAACAAAAACTAAAAAATCTCCTTCAATATTAACATCTCGAGTGTTAGTATCGATTATTTTCAGCATCATATAAACGGAATCTTTTTTTTTTTGTTTTCTGTATCTCAGGACTAAAAAATTCAAATCTCGTCATTCGAATTCTGTAATCAATCAGGAAAATCGTCGTCATAGTTTACGTTTAACATCAGCTGTTAAAGAAATAAAAGCTCCATTTACTATTCATGAAACTAGTAATAAAATAAACATGACTTGCTAAATATAAAACATAACTTTTCTTTTTTCAGTACCAAAATGGCGTCAAGCAGAGAATGATACTGAAGATGAAAATCCATCAATAAATAATGATGATAGTTATGATGATTTACTTGCTCGACATCATCGACACATGCTTGAAGAACAAAAAGATCGAAAGTAAAAAGAAAATTATTTTTTAATTTTTTTTTTTTCAATAAATTATTCTATAGACTTTATGAACGTTATGTTCGTGGTCAACGAAGTCTCCGTCGTTTACAATGTCGTCGTACACACACAGCACATTTAAATGAAGCGACTAGAAATCGTTTATTACGTGAATTAGAACGTGAACGCTGTTATGCTATTCGAGATAAAATTTGTGCATATCGTAAGTTTTTGAATGAATACGTTAGAATATATATTACGATCAACATTCATCGCTATACTTTATTCACGATTCTATTCTTTACAAAAATGTATGAAAAATTTTACTGTTAAATTTTCAGCAGTAATCGAGATTTTTTAAGCAATTGCATCTCTAGACTTGTCTATGGATAGCAAGTAATACATTTTAACTTAATCAAAAGAGAGCTATAGTTCTGAGTAGTTAATCTTCACCTTCAACTATGTAGTTGCCTTCAGTCTAGTTTATTTCATTGGATGGTAATGTATATATAACGCAATTTATATAAAAAGTTCAAATAAATCTGTGATGCTGCTGAGCAAATGAGTCAATACAACTGCGCTGTAGTTTAATTTCAAGAGAAGTAAATGATGCATTAAACAGAAGTACTTAAACTTGAACAGAACTCTTTAATCGGGTCATTGCGAGAACTAAGCAAGCATTTAGTATCAATACTTGCAATGCATTCCTGTAGATAATTGAATCGTGAAATCTTTTTAAAAAGAAAAACACTAAGACATGATGATGAACCTTGACCGTAACATTATGACAATTCTTATCAGCGAACATTTTCAACTGACCAATCGTTTTCTCACCAAAAGATAGCGCAGTGTAGACTATTGAATATGGTCATGAGAAATCTCTTTGGGTCTTCGTCTAGTAAATAGTAAATTTTTATGTTTTGAATTGACTTTTTCACAGAAATTTCAACCATTTTATCAATATTTCAATGTGAAAATCTTTAAGCCGATATTATTTTCCTTAAAATTCATTTCTGGAAGACAGAAAAGATTATTGTCTTATAAGTAGTTCAATATATTCTATAATCTGAGTAGATCAAAAACGATTTTTGTTAGTCTAGAAAACCCCAAGAAAAAAACTTGAAGGACTTTCTTATAGTTATATTCAATAGTAAACAATACACTTGCTTTCAATAAGAAAAACCTATTTATTTTAGTTGCCAATCATACAATTGTATTTCAACATGGATGTAATATAGAATCGAAAGAACCTATAAATTGGTCAAGACTTGAAGAAGAAATTCCTCATAATAGAAATATTGGTACAATACATCAATTAGACGTAATGATTGGTAATTTAAAAAAAGTTATACGAAATTCAAAATCTTCTATGTAAGTTTATTTTGTTTTTTTCTTTTGTTGTAAATTAAATTTCATTTTAATCGAAATAATTATTAAGATCAAAACCTCGATTATCTGTCCGTGAACGACAAAAACAACGTTTAGCATCTAAGACTCTCAGTACTTCAATTAAATCAGATGTTTCACAAACAAATGAAATCGATCCATCACTTGTCATATCAAACTCAACGTAAGAATAAAAAAATAAAAATATATAAGAATTTTTTTTGTCTTATTTCAAAGTTTGAATATACCATCACAATTACCAATAGTATCTTTTTCACCTCGTGTACCCATTGTTCGATTTATCGATGATCAATATAATAAAATACCAATAAGTAATTCCCAACATTTAACATGTATACAAAATGTTTTATCACATAATGAACAATCGAATAATAATTCTAATAACAGACTGTAATAATAAAAAAAACAAAAAACATTATTTTTTTTTGTAATTGAATTTTGTTTCTCATTATTCTAGTGTAACTAATGAAATGTCAACGTCTATTTCTATTAGAAAATTAGTTCTACGTCCGAAATCGACACATATCAAGTATGAAATATAAATTTAAACATATAAGAAAATATTTTTTTTTTTTTGTTTTATTGATTTTTTAGTTTATCAGATTCATCTCCAACGAAAAAACGACCATTGGAAAAAGAAAATTATAGTGTTGTGACAAATTCATCAAATAATAATACACACTCAAATAGTATTTTGAAAAATACATCATCACCGTATGTAACAGCGAATGATCATATACCATACCGATCATCGTTGTTTTCTGTAGAATGGTATCGATCAAATATACCACGTCTCATTCGTCGTCTCGTTCCTATCCAAATACGAGAAAACATCCAATGATTAATAATTCATTAACAACACGTCGACAAACAAGACTTTCGTAAGTTTTGTTTATAATTAAAATGAATTAATTATAAACATATTTATATAATAGTACTATCTTTTATTTCAAATCGAATTAAGTATTTTTATTCTTGAAAAATTCTCGGAAAATTAATCTTTTTTTTTCATTCACCGATATACAGTCTTAAAAATATTTTATTGCGTATACAAAAAAAAAAAAATGAGACTTATAAGTGCACCAATAGGAGGTAATAGTATGTGACAAATATTCAAGAACAAAAATAGTAACAAGACAATACGTTTTTTTTAGGTGAGTGGTGGATGTCAGTTTTCTCTTCACATCTATCTCTACTCTCACACTCACATCCTATACTTAACATAGTCACTCAATGACATCTGGAGCATTTTCAACATTTTTTCTTTAGGTCAAATTGACATATACCTTAGGCATATTGTGAAAAAATTAAAAAAACTCTATTTCGTCGTGAAATTTTGTTTATAAATAGGTCTAATGGTTCATAGAGTAGTCTAACAATTTCATTAGAAAACAATGTTTTTTTTTTCTTGCTTGAGATATTGAATTTCAAAATACTATTTGAGTGTGTATTATTATTTGATGAATTTGTCACAACACTATGCNCTTGATCGAAGATGTTTTTACTCGATTCATAGCACTGAATGAACGTTCAGCTGTCGCTGTTGTTACACGAACGGTTAAATACAGACGTATTAGTGTTGTGCATTCGCAGAACATAGATTTACCAACAGATTATACATTGAGAAAATCACAAATAGTTTGAGTTTTAGCGATTTTCTTAATACCAAAATTATTTTCTAAATTAATAACTGAAAAATAATCGAGTATCATATAGACTAAGTATTAAAGAACAATCGATAGAAATTTTGCCGATCGTGTCTACATTAAAGATGAGACCTACAACTTTTTTCCAAATTAAATGAGCCTCCCTACGCCTTCTTCTCCGTTTTTTAGGGGAGGCTTGAGCCTCCCCAAGCCTAATGGGTCCGCCGCCTATGAGTCTAAGCGATACTATATCTGTGTTCAAGATGCTGAAGTTGCTGTCTTTGAGAATCAAATAATAATTTTTATTTCCTCGTATTCCTGTTGGAATCAATTTTTTCTACTCTAACCACTATTTTGATACTTACTAGCACTTATGGCAGCGAGAAAAATAGTAACATTAAACCTTGCTAAATCATTTTGTTACTCACTATAAATACTTCATGATAAAAATTCTATATTTTCATACAGAACCTGGTCAGGGTGCTGGTTTCTGGTATGTATACTTAATTCCATCTAAAAGGTTCTCGTAGCATGTATTTATCGTTTAGGGGTGATTATCGTAATTGTGATATACCTTTCTGGACTGTTCAAACTATTCTACAATATGCTTCTGAACTAGAAGATGTAATTTATTAACGAAATTCAATTTATTTTTGCCGAAAAATAGTATTAAATCTTTCTCTTTTGGTAGTTTGATTTCATCTATTATACGGGTGATTTACCACCTCACAATGTATGGAATCAATCTCGTGCAGATCAGCTATATGCGATTAAAACTATTAATCAATTATTAGCTACGACCTTTCCTAATAAAACTTTCTATCCAGCAGTTGGAAATCATGAAGCAGGTATTGTGTTAATCTATCTATTTTTTTCAATTTATTTATTTGATTTTCTTCTCTCTGTTCTATAGCACCTTGCAATATGTTTCCGACACCTATGGTTCGATCAGACAATATTTCATGGTTGTACGAAGCATTAGCTGATAGCTGGTTCACACTTGGTTTACCATCTGATACACGTGATACTATCACACGTGGCGCTTTCTATACAACAATTGTACGTCCTGGTTTACGATTAATATCACTCAATATGAATTATTGTTCATCCGAAAATTATTGGTTATTTATCAATGCAACTGATCCGTTGGGTCAACTTCAATGGGTAAGTTTTCAAATTAAACAGACAGATTATAATATACTTTTGATATTTTCAGTTGATACAATGGTTACAATATGCTGAAGATCATGACGAGAAAGTTCATATTATTGGACATCATCCACCACGTTCTTGTTTAGCAGCTTTTAGCTGGAATTTTCATAAAATTATCAATCGGTTAGAAATCTAAACATTTTTTTTTCTATATTTTTTAGTTTATATTTTTTAGATATGAAAATACTATTGCGGGTCAATTTTATGGTCATACACATAATGATGAATTTATTGTGTTTTATGATGAAATTGAAAAACAACGACCTGTATCAATGGTTTGATGTTTCTTTCAAACATTGTTACTCATTTTTTCATTCTGCTCTATTTTAGGCCTATGTAACACCTTCATTGACTACACAATCATTCTTAAATCCAGGTTATCGTGTTTATACAATGGACGGTGCCTATCCAGATTGTTCATATTGGGTACTTGATCATCGTACAATGATTATGAACTTAACTGCATCGAATATGTATAATAGAAGTATTCTAATTAATGAATATGAAGCTCGAAATGCCTATCAAATGGAAAATTTATTTCCTGCAGATTGGGACAATCTTATTCAAAGAATGAAAAATGATATTGATGGTCCCTTAATGAGTTTAGCATATACGTATTATACAAAATCGTATGCTACCGGAGCCAAGTGTAATCATGATTGTCGAAAAGGTTTATTATGCAATTTTATGACAGGCCGTTCTGATGATCCTCATGCCTGTGACTCTATTCCAACTTATCGTTAATTTGTAATTGATAGATTTCTATAATTCAAATTATTTTTTTTATTAATCTTAATTTTGATAACGGATTCTTTCATTTGTTGCTTGTATCTGTAATTGAATTTCAATCTTTAATTTTATTAATAAATTTTGTTTTGAAAATTTTTCAATTCTTGAATGCAAATTAAGATATTTAGACATACTTGAAGTAGTTCAAAATACTTTGCATTTCTTTTAAAACTTAAAAAACACTTCTTTCTCTATTGCGCATGAATGTTCATGTTATTCAACTGAATAGTCAATTTCGTCGTTTTTTAAGTCAAAATAGCATTTCTCTTTTTTCTTTCGCATATTTATTTAAGTGAAAAAGCAGTTTATAAATATTTATTATGGTTATATCTGATATTGAATCCATTTCATTCATAGTTCTATTATTCAGAGTGGATCAAAAAATGTGCTTTTAGTAATGTAACGCTACAACTTCAAGTAAAATCAACCACAAGTTTTATACCAAATTGAAGTACGTCAAAAATGGAATTTACCAATACTAAATAGTAAGGGTAATGGCAATTTTTCAGTGTCGAATTTAGGAAATTTCTAAAATTTTATGCCATATCAGCAGAGAAAAACTCCTTTCATAAGGCAGTTCAAACTAGACCTTTTTCAAAAATTATGAATGTCAATAAGTAATATTTAGTTTTTAAGATTTGATGAATATAATTAATAATTAATATCACGACCATTATAGCGTTTTTACAGCATGAAGATGAGATGGATGTGAATATTAAAAAAATGTCAAATAGGCCTATATTTTTTTTTTAGTTCTTTCATCTAAACCCTTGTACTGGATGTTTGATAGCCATTTTCTTCAGCTTCATTTTTTATTATTACTCGAAAGGGCTTTTTCTCTGTTGATAAGACGTAAAATATTAGGGATTTTCTGAATTCGATAATGAAAAGTTGCATATAACCCTTACTATTTAGTGTCAGCAAGTTCCATTTTCGACGTGCTTCAATTTGGTATAAAATCTCTTGTTGATATTATTTGAAATCATAGCATTATCCTGTTGGGAAAACATTTTTACGCGCCCTGTACACGTCTATGAAATAGAAACATTCCTGTTACAAAGAAAAAAAACTGAGGAACGTTAGTTATTCTCTCGTTTTATTGGTCCATAAACGGAAATCTTAATAAGAGAATGTTTCCATCAAGTTTATCAAAGCATTGAAAACTTTAGAAAAATATTTAGACGAATTCTATAATCAATTAATTTCAGTTGATCTATTCTATTATGTTATTTTTAACCCCTATGTGGCTGTATAATATTATAGTTTCTATATAAATTGAATTGAAATCCTATAATGAAATGAAGAATAAAATTACTTTAGCAAAAAAATAAAAGCAAAAGAAAAAAAAGACACGTTCTAAGTAAACACATTATCTTTGGTCGAATTCAGACGACTTTCTCTTTTCTTCTTTTTCTTCCGTATTTAAAGTTGTGTTTCTACATCAATAGTAGATCGGCCTACTAGAAAAGAAGAATCAAGCATTTTACTCATTATTAAATATCTTTCATTAGCAAATATCATTATGTCGGATGAACTCCGAAATAATATGAGTCCTATCATGGTTTGTCGAAATAAAATAAGATTATGATTTTTTTTTTTGAAAAAATCTTTTGTTCTTGATTTCTTCAGGATGCTACACCTGAAATTCAAGAAATAAGGTAAATTATTTTCTAATACAACTTCACTATTATCTTTGTCTTTTTTTCTTTTTAGTGAATATCCGGAAATAAAATATGCAGCTATTGATGCTTTATATAGAAAACATCATGAACATAAAGTTCATCGTTTTACAGAAGCACATCGGGAAAAACATATAGTTAATTGGAAGTTAGTATCTATTTTTAAGACTAACAAAAATTATTAGCATATGTTGAGTATTATTTAGAGTAACAAATTATGCTGAAGAAGAAGTTGCTTATGGTACTAATTATTTTTTGAAAATATCTATTGATAATAATTTATTTATTCATATTCGAATTCATCGACATAAAAATCAAAATAAATACTATTTTTATGCCTTACGTGAAGTATTTAGACATAATTATGCGTCTTGTATTTTTACAGAAGGTATCAAAAAATATATTTCTTTATGATTCCTACTTACAATGTATTTTGCTTTTAGAAGAACCATTGACTTATTTCAATTATTAGAACGTACATTCGGAAAAAAAGACACTCAAATTTAGTTCCTTTGTTTTTATTAAAGTTTTAAGCATTTAAATAAATGTTCTTTTTCATTAATTGTTTCAAATATATATCTGTCGTTAATTTTCACTCAAATTAGAAAATGTAATAAGCCCTTCCTTTGTCGCTGAAAAATCGATCTAGGGACAGGTGCATTGAAATCAAGTGAAATTTTCATCTCTATATCATGACGTTTAAGAAAGATATCCAATCAACAAGAATCACGAATAGCTCATTTGTCAACCCAAAATTCTCTGTGAGCCCTCATTCTATAAATTTTTCTTTTAATTTAAAAGAGTATGTCAGACTGCAGTGTCATTTTGTTTTATTTCTTGCATTTCATGCCGAGAAAAAGGATGACAAGTTCCATACCCAGAAAAATTCTCAAAAGTGATTATCTATTTATGGAAGTGCTTTTTATAATAATAATAAAGCTTAATTAAAAAAGACAGACAGTGCAACTTCACATGTTCTTTTCAAACGAACAAAAAGCAAATTCTTATAATAAAGGTTATCCGAGAATTCTGCGATGCGTGATCAAAAAAGTATAAATAGAAAAAAAGTATTTACCACTTTTTCTGAAAAAAAAACATACTTTTCAAGTAGAAAGTAACGTGAATCATAAAAACAAGGTGACAAATAAAAATAATGTTGTTGATGAAAAACTCAAACCTCGGGCTATCTCTTCATGTATTTATCTAACTTTCATTTTTTTTTCTGATGGATGTTGACTTTTTCTTGAAGGGAGGCCTTACGAAATAATTTTTGGTTTTCGTTTCACAAGTTTCATCACATATTTATTTTCAAAATTTAATATATGAAATAAAGAATAAACTGTTTCTATTGTTCGTACGAAACATTGTATGTTTATTTATATGGAATTGTTTAAAAACATTAAAAGCTTTTCCACTTTTTTTAAATATATCCTTTGGCAACTTGCATTTAACACAAAGTCAAAATATTTTAACACCTTAAAGTGTCAATTCCTAAACATACAATCAATTCTAATAGTAGCTCAAAAAAAAAGAGCACATTCATACTGCAGCAGTAGGACACATATTGTTATAAATGATAATATAAAAGCACCAGTCGAATATAGATACCGTTAGAATGATAGTATACTTAAACTTCGAAAATGATTGGATCTACGACAATTAGATGAGGTCAATTGGACGCTTTGGCATTCAGTCGCTCTGCAACATTGGGCTCAATGCAGAAAAATAAAGTTTGCAAAAAAGTTTCTTTAATATTACGGAGAAATAACTCAGAGAGATTGAGAAAATAATTAATAATTTATTCAAGAAGAAACGTTATATATGAGTAATTATAAATACAAATCTTTCGTAAATTCTTCTGATTGATTATGAATCCTTACATGTGAGTAAGCAGTAGGTAGTTTAAAGATTTTTCACAATTTTTTATACGTTTTTCTTATTTTGGAGCTTCTAGTTTTGTTGTTTTTGCTATTCGACAATGAATATAATTTTCGTCTTTTCGTAACATTTTGATAAATTCAAAATGTGAAGGTCAATATTAAATTAGCATTTTACTAGTAAGATTTTCTAAGAATCCATTTCACCGAGTAAATCTTCCCTTTTCACATGCCAACATCGTCGTCGCGTGGCTCTGTATGTGATAGAATTACATGTCTACCAATTGAAGTTTGTGGGAAATGAAATAGGAAACATGCTTCTGCCAATCATGCGACCAATTCTACATTGCAGCTAATTGTCGACTGAGGGTGTAGATGAAGAGAAGATTCTAAAACTCTTCATACACACTTCCATCTCTCAATCTGATGGAAGGAGAAAAGTGCTTCAGCCTACAAAGCATGAATCTAGGGTTGGCTTTGGCATACTCAAAACCTTATGGCTCCGTCGTCTATGCTTATTGGCTACGAGTTGGTAGCAAAATCAAATGTGCACAGACCTGGTAACAACATGTCATCTGTCAAAACAAAATAAGGATTTAACAGTAATAGAAATTTTTTTGCATTAGAAAGAGTCTACTTAACAAGCAAATCATTGGAAGTAATTCTTCGCTTTTGACTCCACATTTCACCCATAATTAGCAGGCTTGTAGACTATAACAAAAGTCCAAAATGATATCGCTTCATGTTACGATTTGATTGGGATAGAAAGGTTTTACTGAAATATCTCTGTAGGACCTTCGTTTTCCAAGCGAATCATATTTTCAAACTTTGATATGAAACATTGCATATATCGAGGCTACAATTAGGTTAACTTGTACAAAAAATTTCAGAACTGTTTCATATAGTACATAAACGAGATATGAATTTTCCAAAATACTTACGTTTTACACAATACCTATAAAAAAAACCCTTATATTTTGAAAAATTCATATCTCGGTTATGCTGCGTGGAATAGTTCTGAAATTTTTTATGCAATTCAGTTTATGTGTACTTTTGATATGTGTGAAGTTTCATGTCAAACTTCGAAAATATGATTTTGTTGAAAAATCAGGGCCCTACAGGAATACTTTAGTGAAACTTTTCTATCTCAGTCAGATCAGAACATGAGCACATGTCATCTTGAACTTTTTCTAGCCTATAGGTTTGCTACTTATGGGCAAAATATAGGGTCAAAAATAATGAATCATTCAGAGGATTCTCTGGTGCACTTTCATCTGTCTTAGTACCAGCCTATCTAAGCGTCGTGATTCCGTCGCCGATGATTGTTATCGCTAATAATATCATTGGTAAATAATGAGATAGTTCGTGTAAGATGAGAACGTTGTTATGTATTGAAAAAGGAAAACATCAATATTTTGAAAGAGTTTTCTTTTTCACACGAAATTTACCTTGGAAGTATTGTAATAGTTAGTTTAACTAATTCAAATTCAAAAGATAAATACTCACGAATATTCAGAATGATCAAATTATTAGTTAATTATTCCAATCGAAAAACACTTGTCTCACTGATTACTAGCGTCATCTATCAATTTGAAATAAATCAATTTATTTATCAATTAATATATCTCTCGTATATTTGTCAGTTGAATTATATAATAAATTAAAAAAATGCGTAATTATCTTAAAAATTTTGATTTCACACATTATTGGTCTAATAAAAATTTACTCTTCAAGACCCAATGTCTATTTCGTTTCAATAGAGAAATTTATCATTAGACAGTTAAAATATTTTCTCTTTTCTTTCTTTCATAGATCTGTACATATAATGGACGCTCTTGAAATTGAACATCTATGCGGTCAATTATATGGTGGTGGAGTTGGTAGTGAACAATTACGTACGGTATCTCAACGTCTTGAAACATTTGTAAGTCAACCAAATTGTCTATCACAATGTCGAATATTACTTGATCGTGCATTAACTCCTTATACACAATTTTTTGGTGCTACAACATTAATAAAATATTTTAATCGTTCATCAAATCAACCAACAGCATCTTTTACTGAACGATTTGAATTACGTACATATATACTTGAATATTTATATAAACATAATCGTTCACTTGCTCCATTTGTACTTGCTGAATTAGTTAAATTATATGCACGTTTAACGAAAAATTCTTGGTTTGATTTAAGTCCAAATACAACAAATTTAAATAATGAAATATATCCATTTCAAACATTTACAGATGATTTACTTAAATTTCAAGTAGATCCACCACATTTTTCTGTTGCTTTACAATTATTAATTGCAATATTATCAGAAATAAGTATACCGAATGATGAAGAAACATCTGCTAGAGCATTTAGTAAACATCGAAAAATTTGTATATCATTTCGTGATACAAAATTACTTGATATTTATTTATTTGCTTGTCAATATTTACGTGATGTTATAATTAATCAAAAAAAAGTATTAGGTTTATCAAGTGAATTAAATAATTATCCTAAAACAATAACAAGTGTACAATTACAAGGAGATTATTATTTAGTTGTAGAAAAACTTCTATCATTAGCTTTAGCTTGTTTAACTTATGATTATCTCGGTAAAAATTAATTTTTGAATCTTTTTTTTAATTCAATTTAGTTTTGTTTTTATTTTTCTTTAATTAGGAACGGGCTCAAATATTCATGATGTTGATATATCAGATGAAAATCAAACATTACAAGTTCCACTTGCTTGGCATGATCATGTTGTTGATGGAAGTTTTTATCAATTATTTTTTTCTTATTATTTTCTTTTTTCAAATACAACACTTGTTCCATTAGCAATATCATGTCTTGTTCAATTATCAAGTGTACGACGATCATTGTTGAATACAAACGAACGTCTTGCTGTTCTTAATTATATGACATATGGTAAATGAAAAAAAAAAAAAAATTGTTCGTTTTTTCAACGAATATTTTGAGAATTATAGATAAATAGTTCTTTCTATAGAAAAAACAAAAAACAAAATATGATTACTTTTCTGCCATCAAATGACATTTAAAATTGATGTTAACAATCAATTTTTTTTTAAACTTGAAGGCATGATTCCAAGAAACGTTATTTACTAGTTTACTTGCATCCATAATTAATCTTATGAATCTCATTAATGACATGATAGAATATTGTTGTAGTGTAAAAGTCAGTGTTTTATCTAGAATGAATAATACTTTTCCTACTCTCTCCCCGGATATTGTGTTTGCTCTTTCGAAAACTATCTATGCATATCTTGGAATTTTCAATTTAATATTGCATATGCTTAGGTTATATAGTATCAATCACAGATGAAAGATGATACCAATTTATTTTAATCGAAATTTGAACTATAAAACCTTGGGAGTAAAAGCAATCCAAAGAAAATGTACCAATAAATGATTGAGGACCAAGTTGGGTACACACAAGTCCGTTGCAAATGGATGGAATTCGTCCCTGCAATTCTTTTACATTGCATTGAGAGAATGGAGAAAGAAGACAATTTTTTTGATATATATCGA